CCATATCCTATCTTGTACGTTTACTCACAAACAGAGGGTAATCAGTGAACTTTATGTTAATAACGGATTATGAAATGTCCCCATGTCTGTAGAAACATTTTCTCCCAGTTGAATATGTTCTTTGTGACAGTTAGCATGTATCCTTGTTTAATGTAAGCCTCATTGCTTGCAAACGTTATGCACAGTACAATACAATACAACACCCATGAGCAATGTTCACAATTGATATAATAGGTCCGTTTCAGCGAGCCCTCATCGGCAAGCGAAATGTTCTCGCGGCCACTTTTGTTCACAGTAAATGGCCGGAGGTATTCCAAAATTCTCTTCACATGAGTTGGTCTATCATAGTAAATAGTGACAGAGTTTGAGGTCAAAAAGTTTCAATTTTTTCTCCATGTGAATGCTTGCAGACACTCGAGGACGGTTCCTTACAATCCAGAAGCGAATAGAACAGTTGATAGGCCTGACTCGGAGGTGGGGTTCAGAACCGCAACAGACCGTCAAGGCTATTTCGTTTGCTGTTATTTTGTGTAAAATACCTATCCCCTACTCACTTGTGGCAAGGGGAGATGATGTTGTGTCCCACTAATAATCGGAACTTTTACCAAGTATATATCTCGCCGATTCGACTGACTGATTGATTTACTGATTGGCTGATGTTGTCTACTACCACACGAGTACGCACGCACATCATACGAAACTACTCCATGACAAGGTCGATTAGTTTCACCGGATCAAATGTCTGTATTCAACTGTCCGCGCTCATTGATTCATTAGGGGCTGACCTATCCCGGTTTATTGTACGCTAGTTTCATGTAACACCTGTGCTTGTATCTACTTTCTGTAATTTGAGAATCATTCGTTCCCTGATCCCCGGCTGGCCTACCAGTTTGCACACCGGCTACATGTATGTGTACACATTGCAAATGGACAGACCACTTATTCTACTGCGCGCTTACTTACATATTTGCATAAACGGGACACAACAAGTATATCTTTGTTTTTTTTATTGCATCCAAACTGAACTTTATGGACCTCGTTTTATCGAAATTACGTGGAATAGGTTAGTTTNACTACCACAGTTAATGAGCGGTATGAACGCATCATCGATTCATCAATTTTAAATCACTTTACTTTAAACAGACCGGCATGTTGGTCCTGGCTACATTTCGATCGTCCCGTGACACCGATTTTCTCGAAATCACTTGTAAATGGTTCGGAACACGACAATCGGAGTCGTGGCATCATGTCACGTGATCTCATACAAACTAGCCGAATCAAGGGCATCAGGATAAACCGGTTGATCGATCACGGTGGTGAGGCCACTGATTGATTAGACAACGGTCAAATCGGTAGCTGATCAGTAATCATCATAAGTGAATTCACAAACAATATCTCAGCTCAGAGTCCGCTTTTTTTTAATTGAGTGCATATCAGATATCTATATTCTCGGTAATGCTCGATGAATCCCGCTTGATCCACTGTTGTAAAGGAATACGGATGAATCGAAGTGAACCACG